AATGTTTTCCATGTCTCAATGAAACTATTTAACCGACCAATCAAGCAGTTTGAATTTGCCAAATTGCAAAAAAAAAAAAAAAAAAGTACAGGTCTAGACTCTACTCTTTGCTGTTTAACTTACAGAGACCCCACATTTATCCACCATGAAGAGTGATTGGCCACAGTGGCAAAGAAAAAACATCCTTTTTATTGGCAGAAACATTGAGGAAAGACAGACATATTGGAGAAGAACCATCCGCTGGGACTGGATTGGTGGAGAAAGTGGGATCGAGTCGTAGACAGCTAGTGTTAAACACACACTTAAAGGTTTATCACTGCATGTCTGAGCAGCAGGGAAAATCTAAGAGCTAGTATTCAGCATTAATAATCATCAGTGGTGCATTTGGACATGGTAACGTCTGTGAGGCAGACTAGCGCCTCTTGGGGTCTGCTGTCTCATTGTGGTACACGGGAAACATGCAGAAATCCCCTTCTACAGACCTATCCATCAAAGCTATTTATCTTTCCAATTCAGCCGTATCATTTAATTACATAAACATACAATCCCTGCCTTTGTCATAATAACCGCTTCATTAGTTTGGAGAACATTCATGAAGAAACCCTTAAAAATAGAGCATCCAGTGAAAGTGGAGCTCACCCGCTTTGAAGACGTTGATCGGACTTGACAAAGTTTATAAAGGGTTGGCTTTCACTCCATAGGCGAGTGGGAAACATTCTTACATATTTGTTTTTAATTTCTAATCGCCTTTAATGGGTTGCAATCCAGACGGCTTAAAGATAATTACCTTGAAAACAGAGAAATGGGCTTGAAACAACTAAAACATGTATTTAGCGGAGTAACTCTGTGAACGATGTTGACACAGTGAAAACCATGTAAAAATGATTCCAATAGAGAAAAGTTGTTGGTAGTTTTGGAGATTTAGACTACAATGGCGACTTGTAGAGTATATAAATTAGATGAAGGAAAATGGCTTTCATATGTAAGTCATTGCTGTAGGCCTTGGCATACCGCTACATTCCTCAGCCAATTGGTGGAATGTCAGCTTAGCTTCAAATGCATGTACCAAATTGACTTTAAATACACAACACAGCTGGATTGCTACTTTATCCACGACCCCAATGTTTCAACACTTTATGTTTTTCACACACTAATGTCCTCGCTTTAAATTCCTTCCTTTAATTTAATCTCAGTTTGTTTTTCTGTAACACCAAACACCCTCGTCGTTTTCTCGCGCTCAGACATGGCGACGGCCACCCCGCTGTCTGGAAGCCGTCCTTTAGCGGAAGAAAAAAAAAACCGCAGAGTTCTCCTCCAACAGCTTTTCATGTTGGCATGCGTCCATCCTTTGTACATGAATACATGAGCTGCCTTTGTTTCCGCGGCCCTGGATCAGGTTACTGGGCATGGCTGTGCCGTGTTTTAATGGAAATGCTATGCAGGAAAAGGCCATGTGGCAGTCTTGAATATATGTACATCCGTAATGGGATACTCGTGAGCTCCCTTTAGAGGAACTGTTTGCCTTATTAGGCTGTCGTCTTGTGACTGCAAACAAACTAGAGAGTACAGAGAGATGGAGGAGATTCCTGTGACTGCTGTCTGTACATTATCGTACCTCCGGCTGCAGGAAGGAGGCATGATGTATGTACACGGCAGAGTCACAGGCCATCATGGTGTAAGTGCTTCGCTGAGATGAAATACAGAACCTCTATTTATTATCTCCTGGCAGCAGCACATGAGGACATACTCAGCCCCTCGACTGTAGCGCAGATTATACGAGACATCATAATTTATTTGCCTCAGATGGATGCTTCTGTTTGGGTCGGAGGGCGCGGAGGCAGGCCTGATTAGCTGATGAGAATGAGTAAGGGGATTAAAGGGACTTTTTTATCAGAGGCTCTGACTCACTGTGGTCACTTGCAGACAATATTTTATTCCTGCTTCAGGATGGATTTAGCGACAACACAAACAACTACTTGAGTAGTATAAATGCTAGGAGTGAGGGGGGGCGATTAAGTATTGTATTAGAATAATTTGAACATAATTTGACCCTAGAAATACATCACAGTTGTATTAACATAGTCAAAGTTTTTGGCCTATAAGGTCCACAAAGAGGGAAAATGTTTTCATGCATAACGGTAGAATAGTTAAACAGCAGTTCCCCTCCATCTTTAATGTTTATTTAATGGGAAAAAAACTGATATAAAATGTAGAATTGATCAGTTTGCTGTAAAAAAAATGAGCTTCATATTTAGCATGGAAATGTGAAAGATTGTTACATACAAATAAAAATGTATAAAATCATAAAAACGACAGGCACATGTGCTGTTTTCTATTATTGTGAGGACAGTGAAGGTTTCCGTCAGTGGTAATCGTAAGAGCTTGGTTAAAGATGGAGACATAATTATTGATTTTTTTAAACAGAGAACTTGATCTTAGTACATTAACAGACTTTGACAAAGACTAGGGCATAATTAGCAGTGGGTCATGAAGATATTGCAACACATGATTTGGATATACTCAGCCTTTCCCAGAATGAGTGAATGTTGTATTATGAGTGTTGTGGTATAATTGTACCATTTGGACAAACTTGTGATTTAAAAACCAAGCACATGCAGTCTTTTATTCTTAGATCATGGAGGCGTGTCAGTTGTAGTTTCCCAGCCGGTGGATTTTCCACAGAGAACGCGTGCCGCTGCAGAGACTTCCCTCTTTATTGCGGGGGACTCAGGGGAGCCCCTGTGCTGCTGGCTGAGCGCTGCGTGTGTGTGCCGCACGGGCCTGCAGGGGATGAGCGTGGGGCCTCGGTGTCCATAAATCTCGCCCTGCACCCCTCCCTCACTTTTACTCCCAAAGCAGCCAACCCTTTCACACATACAGAGAGGCTCAGAGCGAGAGGCCTGCGGGCCCTGCTAGGATCCCCAGACAGAGCTTTTTATCTTCAGCTCTCTTAGCTTTACGCTGACCCACGGCACCCTGAACTAATCTTAATGGTTGTTGGAGGACTCAGGGTGATCACGCCCCCCTGACCTTGTGGTTGTGCTGAAAAGAATGAGCAAAGTTTTCAATCACCAGGCAATGCAAGACTGTAGAGGGCCACCCAGGATGTACAAGTCATTAAATACTGTCTCTGAACATTTTGTTTGCCTGAGAATATCTGAATAAAATTAAGCAACAGGCTGAATTATAAATTACTTCCTTATGTAAAAAAAGGAAGAAAGGAAATAACAGTAATGTGACAAAATTAAAAATGACTTTACACTGAAGACTTGGCATGAACTTGGCATGAATAATGAAAAGTAGTTTTGTCAGAAAAAGATGATACTTCTATGTATTGAACTTATTTTAATGATATATTTATGTAGGTATAAAGCTCCATACCCCACGTTGGCTTTAAAAATTACAAAGATTTTTTGGGGATCATCCCTCACAGTTAACAGTTATTCATTGTGTTTTTTTTAATTTTTTTTATATTTGCATTCTCATTAAGTGGTATTCATTTAGAATATGTACTGTATGTAGTTTCTCCTGCCAAAACCTTTGTAATATACAGCTGGCAAAAAGTGCCGTACTGTTGAGCCCCTTAATGAGAAAGTCAAAGGCAAAGAGGCAAACAGCTGTGTTGTTAAAAGTTTACTGCAAAGCTGTCTGTTGCTTTTAAAAGGTTGCTTTCACCAGTTGCCTCTCAAACCTTTGAAGTGCATGGCATACTTAACCTAGTTTTTCATACCGCTCCAAAGTCTATAAAAATGTTGACGTGAAAATGACATAAGGGTGTTGAAGTCATCTTTGATTTCCCTGCCCAATAGGAACGTAATCTTAAGCCTTGTTCGCACTTCCTGAAAAACTCCTGAAGCTTTCAGGGTGAGCTGCATGCGTGAACACAAACAGCCCAAGTTTTCACATTATCTGGAGTTTCTTCTGCCAGACCCCTAGTGTCTTTTCTGCATGAAGTCTGAGTGAGCTGACGTGAGAAGACAGCAGGATATAATCAGGAGAATTCACCTTGAGCCAGTGGGAGGCGGTGGTCTCCTGGGACTGATGCACGGCCATATACTGTGTGCACGCGATCACTGGGATCTCTGCGCGTGATAAACTGCTGCAGTACGTTTTCTGTTCCCCAGTTTGTTGTTCTCCACTCTTAAGCCGATAGTATGATTCGGTCAAACTTCACACAGCATTAATATAAAGTATTCTCATTATAGCGTCATATAGCAGACTCTGTTGCTAAATCCGCCCTTTTTTTTACATCATGCCTTGCTTCAAAAGACCCCACACGCCTCTCCACCCTCCCATCCAATAGGGCTAGTGTCCCACTGTGAGGTTCATGTAAGAACAACCCGATCAGGAGGATTTCAAGGGCAGTCCGCCTGAAATCCTCTAGAAATCCTCAGGAGTGCATATGTGAAAACGTTTTTTAACTTGGAATAGGAAAAGTGTTTGCAGTAAATAAACACACATGCAGTTTGTTCTATGGAAATAAAATACACTGCTTTGGGTACTTACAGTTGAATCTGCTATGATATTCCTAAACAACAAGTAAAAGAAGTTAGACTACGGGGTACAATGTGCAAAAAGCATGTTTTGCAGCCAAATCAGGATTTTATTTTATTTTATGTGGTTCAGACTGGATAGTGTCTCGTAATGCACGCTTAAATGTTGTTTGTATGATTCATACTAAGAAGGTGGTCTGTTATGAGCAACATGACAAGCCCAAATTAATCACTACAACATCACAGTTGATACTGGGAAGTCCCTAGAGGCTGCTCTTGTGGTTTGGCCCAGTGTTGTAACTTGCCAACTTGTGATGCATGACTCTCTAAAAGCAGTCTGCAGTATATTATATAGATTTTATAGCATCACACCTTTGCAGAACCTGCTGTTTGGCTGAGAGATTAAAGACGCTGTAAAAAAAAAAAAAAGCCTCCGTGCGTGACTGTGAAGTGGGGAGTGATTGATTTTAGCCTCATCCTTAACACACTGTCTTTGTCTCCTCGCAGCTCCATCGACTGTTTCCATAATGCACCAGGTCAGCCGCACTGTGGACAGCATCACCCTCTCCTGGTCCCAGCCTGACCAGCCTAATGGAGTCATCCTGGACTATGAGCTGCAGTACTATGAGAAGGTATCAACACATTAATCCTCCAAACCTGCACTGATGCATACTCACAAACACTCTATTTAATTTCCTTCCTGTACATCTCAATAAATGAAATGCTAATAGTATAATCTGACTCTTTTGTGTAGTCTTACATTACAATTCAGAATATATCTCCTCACGCTCGTTTGCATAACAGCACTTCCTAGGAGGCATGTAGACCGAGCTTCTGAACATTGCTCAGAACTTCTGCTCATTCTCTTTCAATTATAATCACGGTCAGTCACTGGGAAAGGAAACCGCGCTCAGCCCTGCAGCGGGCCCGCTGGGGATTGATGCACACAGACTTGTGGTTGCAACAATTGAGCGCCGGCTGCTGTAAAAATAGTATTCAGGGGTCGAGCTTCACCGGATCAGCATACTTTTCTCACAAGAACACATGCAGACACATATTCAAACACAATAATCACTTACATGCATACACCCGTTCTCAGACTTACTGTCACAATCAAACAGATGTACATGTGTGCACGTATATAAAAAAATACACAGCATTTGTCAGCGTTCGTCAACATGCAGAGTAGCTCCACTTTAGAGCATAATTCCCTTCTCTGACACCGCTGCAGAGAGCTGTCATAACAATAGTACGGGCCCCTGCTGCGGCTCAGAAGTGAGCGCCGAGCAGCGGGTGGAAGGGAGCAGCTAAAAGAGTCCCAGTCTCTCCGCTCTCAGACCTGTCAGTGTGCCGGAGAGGAGCAGAGAAAGGCAGCTCTGATCATCAGAAGGCACGGCTCAGAGAAGCCGCCTGACCCCAAACTGCCACCCAAATCTACCTTCTGAACCGCAGCTGCCGGAGGTTTGCCTCTTTCAAGTCCTGCAGCTCAATCAAACATTATGATTTCTTTTGGGAGGGGGAAAACGATTCAGATTTGTTCTATTGTGGTCGTGTTATTGTGCATGTTTGCAAAATAAACGCAGGGATCAGTGTCACTGCTGCTTTGCTGTGCCAGAGATGTTTCAATGCAAGATCTAAGAGACGCGATTTTGAGATGCTGTTTGGTACATTTTGTGCATTGTCACAAGACATTTATAATTCTGTTAAAGTATTGAAAACTGTGGATCATAGTGCAGTTATAGCACCAATTGTTGTTGTTAAAATAGCAGAAAAGGATGCACCAGAAACAGACTGATGGTTGTGTCACGTGCCCCATGGGCGGGCGGGGGCTCTGGTCCTCTGGCACATCCTGCATATTCCTTTGCCTTTCCACAGAATCAACATCAACCAATCAATCTTTATTTGTATAGCACAACGTTTATCTTGAGACACTTTACAAAAGAGCATATGGGATATTATGCAGGAAGGATTTCTCCTTTGTATTCCTTGCATTCCTGCAAGCAGCTGTGGTTGTGGGGACGACACAGTCTGATGGTGGAGGCTGGAAGTCAGGGATGTGGGGTGGAAGTAGTTCCAGATCACATCGCTGAAGGTTTGGGGAGCTCTGTCTACTCGAGAGCCTGGCTTCTGCTGCCAGGACAAGGCCTCCTGGGCTTCTTACACACTGACACAGAAGGGAGGGGGATTAGATAATGACAACAAAAGGATGTTAAACATTTTTGATTCTGCTGTAAAGTTGTATTTTTTTAAAAACAGAATCAACATCTTCTCTTAAGCTCTGATCATTCCCTTCACTTGTTTGAGGGATTTCCTCTTAAAACAATTCAACTCATGTCAATTGAATATTTACTGAATTAATGAAGTCAATAAATCAAATGAGAGGCACAGTAATCAAATTTAGTATCCATGTGATTGACCATAAAAGATAAGAGTTTGATAAGACATCATTCATTCATTTATTCTGACTTTTAAATGAAGAGAAATAATGCACATTTAATTTCTCCATCGTTAGGTTTTGTATTTGGTTTGTAAATACTTGTGTGTGTCAGAATTTAAGTATGTTGTTCTCTTCTCCCAGGACCAGCCAGAAGTGAACGCCACCGCCATCAGGAGCCAGACCAACACGGTGGTCATCCGCGGCCTCAAATCAGGCAGCATCTACGTGTTCCAGGTCCGGGCCCGCACCGTCGCAGGGTTTGGACGCTACAGCGGCAAACTGTACTTCCAGACCATGACTGAGGGTGAGAATTCAGCCAATGCTCCCCAAAGCACGCAGGCCTGTAATCCCCCCCTCCATGCGTCAACACACCATGTAGTGTAATATGCATTCAGACAGCTGCAGGAATGAAAAGGGAATCATGTTGTGAAGTAAACAGATCAAGTACTCCAAAAGCAGATTAGTGTGGCTTGAAATTATATTTGTTCTGCCATAATGTCTTCTAATTCAAATTTTTCTTATTTCCCAATCCAATATTTCTCTTCTTTATGTGGTATATACATCTCATCCACTTAAACTCAACACATGCGACATTTGCCATTTACCACCATACAGTAAGACTTGAAGGATGAGGTCAAAGTTATCTTATCTTTGTTCCCTGACACAACTGGAAGAAGGAGGAACATTCAGTAAACATCAGTCATGAAGGTTAAAGCCCGGGTTTTCCACTCTGAACATCTCATTTCCTTCAGCCTGCTCTGCCCGGGGGCCGTCATTAGCCAGAACTCCTCTCCAGCAAACATCCATGCTTCTGCCACACGCACACATCGCAGCACCAGAGATATATCAGAGCTGATGTAGAAAAGTAAATATCAAGTAAACTGAGCGTGCAGCAGGACCCAGGTTTTTATCAGGGAAATATTTATTTTTCTAAAGAAAAGGAGATCCATTCAAAATGATTTTCAGAGAATGTACCAATGCAGCCAGAGAGTTGTTGTTTTTCCCCTGCAAGAAGACACTGATTACCACAGCTTAGAGTAAACAATCAGGAGAGTACAGCTCTGGGAATCATCAGAAAAAAACATTGAAGAAAAGGAAAATGATTCCCTCTCAGAAAGTAAAAGAAAACACTTTAATGTTGTCACTTTGAATCATTCTCAGATTGTTTGACATCTGGATTGTTTGTGGATTGTCTTTTTTCATTTTTACATCCTATTCTCTCTGGTATCAATATAAGAAACATACACTGTATTCTCCTCCTTCCTTTTGAAAGCTTCATGAGTGTAAACTCAATATTCCTGGATGTTGTACCTCAGGGCTCTAAACTAAACAAAGACAAATCCATATAGTAAACCAGCAGAGCACAATCAAGGCCCCATAGTCCAGCTGATCTCTTCACATATGTCCATACGTAGACGCATAGTAGGGCAGGGAGTCTTTGGGTGTCTCACGATTCGATTTTGATTTTGATTCTTGAGGTCAACATTTGATTGAGAATCTATTTTCCGATTATTTGGATTCATGATTTAAAGTACATTTTTGAATGAGTACATACTTCAGGATCTACTCCAGTCATCTGTGAGACTGGCTGAATTTCTTGCTGCTCCATTTGGCATTCTACTGAGTTAAAGAGCTAGCCTTAGCACTTAGCAGGGATGAATCTTTTTAAGAACTCAGAAGATAAGAACTCTGATTTTTATGTGAATCTTTTTTTTTCCACCTCAAACACATAGTATAAAAAGTGAACACCTTTGTTTGTGGAGTTTGAGGCTTTTTGATGTGACCATATTTGGACAGAGGATGGATACCTCTGAGGTTAAGTCCTCATGACATTATTTATTTGTTTAACCTTTATTGTAGCAGGAGTTTTCACTTTGAGATACATCATTTATTTTTTAAGGGGGTCTCTATGCTACCCAGCAGAGCTAACACCCAGTAATGAAAAAAACTTTTTTTTTTTTTTTTTTTTTTTTTACAGCTTCAAGTGGTCATTTGAGGAACTGCAATTTTTTGGCCCTTGTACATTTGCTTCCTTTGTCAGCCCTGGAGTTTGCTGCTTGGTTTTCCCTCCCTTGTTATCAATTTTGATGAACACTCAATGCCCATATTTGGCATTTATAAGCACTTGATTTACATTTCATGAATTATAACTGTACATGAATGTCAGTTAGTGAAAGCTTTTTGTAGAAATTATATAAAAACACCGAACATAGTTGATTTTTTTGTCGCGTCTTCAGTTGTTAAGATACACTCTGTACTTTAATAAATACTGATAAATTATTTTACATGGCAGGGTCAAACTCAAATTGAACCAAAATTGACTTTTGTACATAGGACAACACATTAATGTTTTCCAGAAGCACAGAACTCTGCAGGGAACTGAGTAGCATGTTTATTGTTTTTGTAAAAAAAATATTGATAGATTGTGTGTAATTTTCGGTGCTCCAGAGAAGAGTCCGCCTCGGCCTCTTTGTGCCCTTTCAATAGCTGGGTTCCTGCTCTTGGCTGCCTCATCAGTCTGGGTCTCACCCAAAACATGCTCTCTCTGCTCACTTCACACGCTTCCTGCCAGATGATTTGTCCGTATCCGCGGCATCTGAGCGGCACATTCAGTGTGCTTTGGAAAATGGTCCGTGCAGCCCGTCAAGATGCCAAGCTCGTCATTGGTTCACCCAGCCATATGTCCGTGTGTCTGTCACCCACTGCTCCCTCCATATGCGGGGGCTCAGATGCTAACCCATATGTTTCTCTGCATGTGTGACTGTATGTGTGTGTGTGTGTGTGTGTGCATTGTTTATGAATGTCGTTCTTCCTTCTACAGAGGAATACAACACCAGCATTCAGGAGAAGCTTCCTCTTATTATTGGCTCGGCGGCTGCTGGCTTGGTCTTCCTCATTGCTGTGGTCGTCATCGTCATCGTCTGTAACCGGTGAGTCAGTCCTGTCCCGTTTTCTGTCTCTTTTTTTTTTTTTAAGCCTAAGAGCCTGTCAGGTACAGGTATACACCCCCCCTCCCCCTTGTGCATTAGTTTTGAGAAGTGGCATCAATTCTCTTGACCTCAACTTTTTCTTTCTTTTTCAAGAACACAAATTAACACATCCATTTTTCCACCAATAAGAAGATAACAGCTAAATATCTGGATTTGCCAGTTTCTGTACACCTCTCTTTTTTGTTGGTTGTGTTAGTTTTTCTTTATTCAGCGTTCTAAAACATTTCTTTGCAACTCAAAAGTCTCTTAGCTCTTTTGCGTGTTAAGCCAACCTGGCCTTGACTCAATCATTCTGATTAAAACTATAAATATGAGTCGTGGAGATAAACCATATGGGTTTGAAGATATTAATTCTTAATACATTCCAGTCTGTCAGCAGCAGAGTTCATACTTTAAAGTCAACATTACAAACATGAAAGTTCTGCAGGTGTTCCCTCTCACTAAGACTGAAATGTTTGTAACTCTGCCAACATTATAAACTTTCGGTTCCCACTGAGCCCACGCATATTAAAAACTGAAGCTCAGCTCCTGAATCCTTTTTTTTAAATATAAAAAGAAGAATGTGTGAGATACATTTCTGAGTATGGATTCTTTTAGTAGAAAGTATATATGTATGTCGTTAATGGTATACCAACTATTTGCAGAAACCTTCAGGAGCAGCCTTTCTGAAGTGTTCTAGAAATCTCAGCAGTTCATGTGTGAACAGCCTATGATAAATCTATGTATTCATATTTAGTTTTTTAGTCTAGTTTATTTTTGTTAATTGCAAAAACTGACACTATAAGAAATGGTATCCCCAAATATGGAAATTTAAATCTAATATTTTATGGTTTCTTTTCTCAATTGTAAAATCTGTAAAAGCTGACTTGCTCACACCTTGTTGTACTGGATCGGCAAAATAAAGTCAATAATGAGCCCTAATATTGATTCAGCAGATCCCCAAAAGCCCACGTCATCAGCCCTGTCTGCAGGAAAATCATTGATATTTACGCACCCACCATGTCCTACTTACCAGGGATTTAAAATGACCCTCCTCTCTGGTGTATAAAGTGGAAATAGAGATTTTTTTTCTTTTAGATATATTCATCATTTTTGAAACAATCAATGCAGCTGCCAAACAAAAAAAGAAGACAGGTTTGTGCAGCTAGAAAAATGAAGAATTCTTTCTCTATAAAATGTTGGCACTCCATCTCTCGGTTGGTGTATCTGGGTAGACCTGGAGGGGGGGGGGGGGTGTTTGATGTGTGAATCTGCCCCTCCCCTGCTCCCTATCTTTGAACCAGAGCTAGAGTTCTTTGTCTTTCCCCCAGGAGGCGTGGCTTCGACAGGGCAGACTCAGAATACACCGACAAACTGCAGCACTACACCAGCGGCCACAGTGAGTACACCACCACCCCACCACCGTGCACCCTCCTTCAGCACCACCACGCACACACCTGTCTCCATGACGACCGTCTCACACCGGCATCTCCACAGCTTTCATTCATGCCTCACACACCTGTCTCCATGGCTACCACCTTGCACACTAGTGTCCTTGGCTACGGCCCAGCTTCAACACCGCTTCATTTGCCCACCACCCCCCCCTTGCTTTGGAGTAATCCCCTTCCCTGTTGTTGACTCAGATTTTACCTCCATCAGAAGCACTGCTCCAGTGGGCATTCTGTGCACCATCACACTTCATAGTTAACCACATTCATTGTAGTGGAAATAGGTCAGCCTTTACTCACGTTAACACCATTAGCATGCTAATGTCACATGAGTCATTTGCCATTGTTGAAAAATTCAAAGACCTGGTGAATGAATGAAGAACTCTTAATGATTTTTCCCTCTTCATAAAGTACAGTAGCATAGAGCTTAAATTACAATCCTGCAATAAGTCTGTGAGAACGAGCTGGCTCCTTCAAAATATTAGAGCTGATCCATCTTTCTCTTAATCATTTGAAAAATGCAGATCTACATTTTTCCATCTTGAGTTTTTGATACCATCCTAATCTGTTTGTTTGATGGTATAATTATCGTTCTGCACCGTCCTTTTCATCTTTCTTTTACTCTTACAGTAAAAGCCAATTCATTCTGATTATGCCCAAGCAAAGTCTAGCTTGTGATTTAAAATGGAATTGGTATTTTATGATGAGTGAAACCACAATTTTATGTTTAATACAGAGCAAAAATGTCTGTGTGTGAGAGGTTAGGGCTTTTGCTAATTTTGAATTTCTGTCTTTAATTGGGCCTTTACATGTAGAGTATCATTAAAACTTCAGGCTGTCAGTATCATAAAACCACATTACTATGTATGGATGTAAATAAAATGTGCACACTAACACATATGTACTTGTAATGTAAAGTACGGTCTTCAAGCAGTGCTTAAATCCCAGGACGATGTATTCACCATTTCTGCCTCTAGTAGTCATACTGTATCAAATACTTATACTAAGATGCAATGCAGTTGTTACATTCCTGCATAAAGGTCTTCTGATTAAAAACATTTAGAGTTGCAACATATAAATGATCCATGTTTATTCCTAAAAGAAGGTGGTTCTCCAAAAGTTTAAAATACCCCATGAAACAAAATGTGAGACACTGAAATGTTACAAAATCTGATCTACAACACAGCCAAATAACTTGGTTAAAACCCAAGTCCCAGCACTGATCAGGAAGATGGGGTTTCATAGTTAATGGGGTGGCCAAGCATAATTCCAGGGGGCTCTTGTTATCTCAGACCACCCTCTGGATTCGCTCCTGGATTTGGGGTAAAACGTGAAAGTTATCGACGTCGGCGTTTCAAAGCTTCTAGCAGCAAAAGCCAAAAGTGTCCTGAGTGCATCCTGTCCTCACACCAGTCACAGTCCAGACTTCAGCCCCTGTTTTTGGCGGTCTTTGCCGTCATAGCAGGGCGGTCTGTCTTTCAGCACTTCAGCCTTGGAAGAGATTGTAGGATTTTGGTAATGGTGGCGTTTTGCCCGGTCAGATTCTCTCCATCTGTTCCTCTCTGCATCTTGTCTCTTCAGCGTACTGTTCCAGGTTTTTTTCTGAGACTTTATGCATGCACGTCTTGCTCTGGCCCAGGCATGATTTCACTATCCGTTAAAACAGCCTGAGGCCTGATGTGGAGGTGAGAGAAGAATAATCGGATTTCAAACTCAGGACACTTAAGTCCCTGGACACTTAAAGGCCACCTTAAGCCAATTTACCTGGCATCAGGGCTTAGGAGTGCCAATTTATTTCTTGGAGTGGAGCTGGGAGATGCTGATATAGGGTCTGGGTTTCTCTGCTGAGTGTTAATGGCACTATGACTCAGTGGAGATGATATATGTATTACCCTGCCTTATCACAGCTAAGAAGACTGGGAGTACCTTTTTCCTCTCTGTCCGAATTGCTACGCACATTATCAATGAGGCACTAGGCATTACCACCATTTGTAACTGCACCGCCTCCTCCATCCTTTGACCTTCATCACTTGAATGTCACACATGCATTAAAAGCACACAGGAATGCATGAATGCAAAGAGAGTTGATCTTTGATGCGCTTCTGACTGTGAAGCCCTCAGGAGTGTGAGTGTGACCGCAAGAGTTAAATATTATAGCCTCTCTTTCCTTTTTTCCAAGTGACTCCAGGAATGAAGATATATATTGATCCGTTCACATATGAGGACCCCAACGAGGCTGTGAGGGAGTTCGCTAAGGAGATTGATATATCCTGTGTGAAGATTGAGCAGGTCATTGGTGCAGGTAATGGAGGAAGCTTTGCAAAAAAACGTGTCTGCAATATATTACCATGAAACACATTGAATACACAAGTTGATTTTAAGTACATGTAGATGTTTATCACCTCACATCAATGATTTTTTTCTGCCGTGTAACGTCTCCACAGGAGAGTTTGGAGAGGTGTGCAGCGGTAACCTGAAGCTCCCCGGTAAAAGGGAGATGTTTGTGGCCATTAAAACTCTAAAGTCCGGCTACACGGAAAAGCAAAGGCGGGACTTTCTCAGCGAGGCGAGCATCATGGGTCAGTTCGACCATCCTAATGTCATCCGCCTGGAGGGCGTGGTCACCAAGAGCAGCCCGGTCATGATCGTCACTGAGTTCATGGAGAACGGATCGCTGGACTCCTTCCTCAGAGTAAGAAAACAGATTTTGTTTACATCGTTTTCATGTCTCATTTAACACAAAACAGCCAAAGGAAAATATTTGATGTGAAACAAATTTATTTTTAATTTTTTTCTTTAAGGTAAATGTCATAAATTAAAGGAATATAACTTACATTTCAGCTGCATTGACCAAGAAAGCTAAGTTGTCCTTCTTGCTGAGCCGTTAAGTCTGTGCCTACATGTACCATCATGCATTGCAGGAGATCAGCAGCAGCCTTAACACTGTTTTGCAGATTTATACTGTCAAATGTACCCTCGTCAAAAATTAGGGGCCACAATTTTTCTGTCTGAAAGTTGGTTTTCGTAGCTACTTTTCTCTACATTTGAAGCTGGAGGACTGAAATAGCTTGTAGTTTCTCCACAATATAGCCCGCAGCAGGCATCACATTAAACAACTTAGGGTTCACACTTTAAAGAGTTAAAACATAAACATATTTTACAGAGAAAAATGCAAAAAATACTAAATTTTATAACAGAAGAATAACAGGTCGTAGAACCCTCGCAGATGTTTCCACATTTTGTTCCTCGTTGAAAAGATAGAGATTAGGTCTAAAACTTTTAAACATTCCATTTAACTTCCATTTAGTTACATAAATTAATTCACAGTCCTTTCACATTAAAACAGAACATATGATTCTGCCAAACATTATCAAAATGGATTCAGTCTCTTCAGTAGAATCTCACTGTGGGGCGGCTGTGGGTCAGCGGTAGAGTCAGCCGTCTCTCCACCAGCAGGTCAGGGGTTCGATCCCCAGCTCCTGCAGTCACATGTTGATGTGTCCTTTGGCAAGACACTTAACTCCAAGTTGCTCCTGCTGCTTTGTCGTTGGCATATGAATGTGATTAGTTTCCTCTGATGGTCACTTTACAGAGCAGCCTCTACCATCAGTGTGTGACCTGCGGTGTGAAAGTGCTTTGAGTAGTCAGAAGACTAGAAAAACTCTTTACAAGCTCAAGTCCATTTAATTTAATAATAATAATAATTGATTCTTTATTGATCCCGCGAGGGGAAATTCGTTTTTACACTCTGTCTAGTAAACTTGCTCCACAAACATAGGCCGAAATACCAACAAAGTTTGACTTTTGTCTTAAAAGCAGCAATCCATACATAGAAAGGTTCATCTTCACTGTAAGAAAACTCTCATCTTCTCATCAACTCTGAATTAATGACATATTACACAACAGGTACATGTAAAATCAATCATTTTTAATTATAAAGATAAATATTGCATAATTAGTGGAACGGTGATTTAAAACAGACTGCTGGTAAATCACATCTGACAACATTTTGAAACATTGAACGGTTTACACTTTGAGGTTTTGTTGGCAGCTCTGCACTGAGCTACGTGTTAGCTTAACAAGTTGACATGTTGATCCGCCTCACTGCTTGAAGCTCACTGGTCTATTACTTTGAGAAGCCTAAAGTAAAGACATGAAGATCTTCAAAGTTTAATTGGAGTTTAGGACTCTTCTGTCTTCTCGGTGTCTGTTAAACTGACAGAGCTGCTGGTTACCTGCCACAAACTGAAGACAAGCTTTCATCCAAACAGCATTTTAGTAACAACTGCGGAGACTTTGTTTTTCTTCTGCCAACTCAGAGAAGTAACATTAATTTAAACTACAGCTGACAGTTGGTTGTCATTAAAGACGTGATACAACAGTTTGAAACCACTGTTGCATCTCCGTGAAAATCACACTCCGGGGGTGTTTATGTAGGAGGGATTAATCCTGCAGGCGTAGGTAACTTAAGTTTTTAAAAACACCTGACAAACACGGATTTAAATCCTTGTTGCACACACAAAATCTTAGCTGTACACACATATTTGTCCCCAAAATTGACACGGTTTATAAACTCCTGCACAGTAATCCTGCTCCAGATAAACATTCATATTCACACGGTCCCTCCTGTGTCGCTGGTTTAATGTCAACTGTGACTTCCATAGAGGAGTTCTCACCTTATGTAATCCTGCCTCCCTTTAAACACTGACTGGATATTTCTTTACCACAAGTATGACTTTACTGTAAAACTTCTACTAGTAGTCCAGGCTTTTATTTATATCAATCTATGAAATGACCCTTCCTTTATTTGGGACGAGATGGTCTTTTAATTATTTATGCACAGAACGTGTGCACAGCAAAGATGGGAGCGGTGTAAACATATAAGAACGTCTTTTAATTTAAAGCATTACATTTCAAATGAGAGTGGTGCTGGTCGGGGGCCCTGGTGGCACAGTGGTTAGTGCGCGTACCCCATATACAGAGGTTATAGTCCTCCAAGTGGGTCGCCCAGGTTCAGATCCCACCTGTGGCTCCTTTCCCTGCATGTCGTTCCCTACTCTCTCTTTCCCTGATTTATGACTCTATCCACCGTCCTATCTCTACAATATAGGCATAAAAATCCCAAAAATGAATCTTAAAAATTATTTATTTTCCATCTCTAATGCCAACATAGCGAGCAGAATAGTCCCCGTTCCTCCTCTCAGGTTAACATTTCTGAAGTCTTTATCAGATCATCCTGCTCACTGCTCACATTCTGTCTGTCTTATTTTATTCTCCTTATTTTTTAATGTAACGGGGCCTCCGATTGAGACCTGCCTTGATTTGTCAAAATGTGCGGCGACACTGGTCTAGTAAAAGGCCTTAAATTGGGATTGGCTTTCATTGGAAGTTTAATGGTTATTAAAGTTTTTCTCCTTATATTTCATATTTTTACATCATAATTCAACACAGTCTTATAGTGACAGTGTTGTGCTCTCATGTGTCTTTGATGTTTCTCTTGTTGGTGCGTTACATTCATTGTACTCGTCTGCTGATGAGGCGGTACTGCATATACTGTACGCACCCCCCCCCACACACACACACACACACACACACCCATCCCCCACACCGACTCCCTGACAAGAAATATGCAGCGCTCAGAAGTTCACTGGATTTTTAATTTTCATAATCTAACCAGAGGAGGATATTACAGAGAACCGGTCATGCTCTCCCATTTACAACCGCCATAAATAATTCAGATACTTTGCAGGACTTTAAATGAGATGTCAGACGTTAAAAAATGAGGCTGGATATTAGATGAGATGTCACACGGCCCTTTACCATCTGTCTGGGGATGTTAGTGAACTTAAAAACAAACTTTTTTTTTTCCTGATACGACTATTTAGTAAACTTTTATCATCACTGATGGCTCTCATTATGGGATGAATGAAAAGAGCCGTTGATTTCTGGAAATTGGAGATGAATGAGAATCATTCATCCTTGGCTTTTGCCAAAAACAGTTTATATTTAGTTTTCATTAAGTTGATGTAAAATGAACTAATTTATTTATTTAATGAGACACAAAGCTTATGCCAGTGAAGAATGCCAAATTGTTATTTAGCCACGGGCTTGCCTGAAGTAAACAAGGATGTCGTCCTTTGTTGTGCATCACAGCAGTGGTTCTCAAACCTTTCTCAATAATGCACTTCCTTTAACCTTACCATTGACTATTGCAAAATACTTTTATATCATAAAATGCCATTAAAAGGAAACACAGCTCTAGTGCTCTAGGGTCTGAATTACTAAAAAACAAACATGGTGGGCTGGCTTCGCTGAACAGCTGGATAATTTCTCCACCAAAAAAGGAAGATTTAAGAATTTGGAATTTTCTAGACTCTTCTTTGGCTTTTCACTTCTGTCTTTTTTCTGTCTTTTTGTTTCCAGCCGCAGCATTAAACTAAAAATCCATAAGTTTAATATATGTCCATCATAAAGTACTGACACTGCCTCTTCGAGAATGAAAACCAACAAACAAAACCAACAAGAGCCAACTTTGAAACCAACAAAACCACTTTGAGCCTGATTCAGTTTGTGGGGACAGCTGACAGTTTGACTAAGGTCCATTACATCGATGTTACATCTTTATAGTACGAAATATGGTTCATTTTTATAAAGTGTTCCAATACTTTCATGAATGATGCCGGACTAAAAGGACTAAAGAACCTCCTGCAGTTCTCAAACGCTCCCCTAGGGTCACTCGACCCCCATTGGAGAAACAATACATTATTACAGTGTCATATTAAATATATAGTTGTGAGTGTTGGTGTGAAAACAGTAAATAATATCCAACAAGTACAAATCTCAGAAGAATGGTTTAATTGATGTAAATTCCTATAATTACAGACATTTGTAGAAATATTTAACAATATTTGAAAAGTGGAATCCCCACTCTGACAGACAGTTTAGGTGTTCTGCCGCAAGCTTACACCAAAACCCTCCTTTAGAAGAAGACAGCTTCAGTTCACACAGGTCCCCCCACCACAACCCCACACCCGCCCCCGCCGCCCTCTGAGACACAAAGCATCAGCTCTTTCTGGAATCTGATCTCATAGTGAAGCTGTTTGCGTTCCTGTCGATGTTTGTTAAACATATTTGACAGCACATTGTATCCAAAACAACAGTGAAGCTGTGCGGCACCTCGTGGTAACGACTGCTGATGTGTCAGAGTCTCTGAATGTGGTTTGTGTCTCTGTGAGGTGATCAGTGTGGATGGTTGGGGAGAATGGTGGCTGCAGTGTGAACTGTGTGCTGCCTGCTGAAGGATTGTCTCCCCTGCTGCCTCCTGCAGAAAGGGCTGGGGATGTTCAAGGAATGATTTCTCCTTCCATGTACCCATTCTGACTCGGACAACCAGGGACGGCGGCAGGTTTTTTTTTCTCCCAGTGCTGAGGGGGAGCTTGACTAATATGTTAGGGTGCTATTTTTCCAGTTTGTTTAAAAAAAGAAAGCAAAACTACCAAAATTCGTGACGGGGCTTTACCGGGGCTAGACAGATTTATGATTTTAAAATACTTCTGGCTGTGTTTAAGGCATTAAATGGACTTGCCCCTGCCTACCTCTCAGAACTCCTATCCCCATATAAACCGGTGAGAGATCTTAGGTCATCTACACAAAACCTTCTGTCACTGCCTAGATTGAGGACAAGGTGCAATGGGGATCGGGCCTTTTCTATTGCAGGACCAAAACTATGGAACTCTTTACCCCCAGACAAAACTCGCCTTAAAACATATTTTTTAATTGTTGTTATTCTTGTCTGTTACTTTTTAATGCTTTGTTTCTGCAATGTTCAGCACTTTGGATCAATCAATGTTGTGTTTAAAGTGCTATTTAAATAAAGTTGATTTAATTTGATTTGATATGATGGGGCTATAGCGCCCCCTCGCCTCGGTGTAGTGCCGTGCTTGCAGACAACTCAGTTCGGCTGATAGCGAGATACCTGTCCGATTCCACATCGAAAAAAAGAAGAATTGGTGTCAAAAGCCACGATATTTTATGAGCACTCATTTTATTACTCACCCAGACTGTAGCACTGCACTGTTGTTGATCAGGACTGTCACATTACTTAACTTAACATAGATGATTAAAATGAGTAAAAATGAATTACAGTATCAAATCCATGCATTGATTTGAGTACTTGTCATTATCCCACATGTCTTTTCAGATTATATTGAAGGCTTTTATTCATACTGGCATCAACAATGTAAGGGACCTATCTGTAGACTATATGGACGTCACACACTGGTTTCTAAAGCGGACTTCTGAAGCCTGTCGGTGGTGGCCGCCATTTTGGAATGGACTCACACATATGAAGCCAGCTTTCAGGAGTCTAGTACAAAGGCTGGAGATTGTGATTCTTTTTAGAAAAAAAATAAGTGGTAGAGAAAGATATGAAATTGATTATTTGTCAATCAGAGCTAAGCAAGTTTCGAGAACATTATTTTGATAAAAACAAATGATGCTAGTTCTTTATTTACACAGTTTTTCACAGTTTTGGATATTTTTTCCACTTAACTGACCCTTGAGACTTTGGAGGAATCCTCCCAATTAAAGTTTGTGCAAACACAGTACAGATTAGGTGTCCATGTGTAATTCTGAGAAAGGTTTTCATGAATTATGCATTCTGCTTAATTGCTGCGGTACACGAGGAGGAGCAGCTTGAGTCGAGGAGAAGCATCCGCTGGGCTAATGAGCAGCAAAGTGTTTGAGGGAGAAATAGGCTGGTGGAGCGGTCATGCAGACTGTTAATATGGCTGTGTCCTTCCAACCCCACTCCCACCACCACCCCCACCACCACCACCTCCCTGGGTCTGTCCGTCTGCCCACACCCGTCCCCGTGCTCCTTTCTCTGGAATCTTCTGTTCTCCGGGCGGCGTGGTGGGTGGTGGGGGGGAGAGTGCAGGTGTGCACAGTTGGAGGCACAGCTGCGGCACTGCTCCAGACGCTCTGCATGCATGTGGTAAAGCCCTCACCAAACTGAGGAGGGGAACAGCTGTAGACAGGCAGCCAGACCCCGGCTTAGCCCCCCACCCGGCCCTGCAGAGGCCAGTTCAGCCCGACCAGAACCTCCCTGATAGTGTCCTTCAGGGCCTCTGCAGAGAAACTTACACCACAAAGTAACTTCTCTACTTCAGACACATGTGGGTTTGGTTACAGGTAGACATGTCTAAATTAAATTATTATTATTACACTAAAAGAGTTACATGGGAATTTTATATTATTAATGCCACATTTCTTTAATGCAGGAGGAGTTTTAAAAAAATATTTTCTCATGAAGCCAGTGTGTAAAGAGTCTTAAATAGTATGTTAGCATCTTTTGAATTCTGATGATGTTCATTTAGTTTTTGAAACATGAAACAAGCTGATTCCCTCTATGTTCCTTTTACTCTGATATAAAGTCAGAACACTTACACGGTCACTGTCTTTTGGAACCATTGCCTAAAAATAGAATATTAAGATTCATGATACTTCCTTGGCTAAAATGTATGTAAACATTGACAGCAGATTCCTGCATGAGTCACCTTGTGCAATTTTTAGAAAGTCCATTAAATATTTAAACAGTGTGTTAGAAGAAATTGCAGGGGCACCGGTTTTGATCCGTGGTTAGAGCATCGTCCCGTGTACGGACGGTATAGTCCTCGTAGCAGCGGCCCGGGGTTCTTATCCGATCTCAGCCGCTTGCTGCATGTCATCTCCCACTCCTTCCTGTCTCTCTTCAGCTGGCCCATCCAAAATGGTCCAAAAATAACTAAAAAGTCTGTTGGTGCATATCAGGGAGTGTGATGACTACTTCACCTTTAAAAGAAAACTCAAATATTGGTTAAAAACAAACCAGTCTCTGCAGGTTTCTGGCTCATTCTGCATTTTTCACTAGCTGCTTTTATGTAATGTCTGTTATTGCTTGTGAAACAAATGTGTCCATTTTGTATTTAAAACTCTCCTGTCACTGTTAATGTAAATGTAGATGTGTCTTATTTTTTGTCAATAGGACTACAGATGAAATGTAGATTTTGTGCTAATTCTGGCACATTTACATTGATCTATATTTCGATTTGTTGATGAATGTGTATGTAAGTAAATAAATTAATAATTGCATAGGTTAAAAAATTAATTGTACTCTGCAGCTCTCCTTTAAAATACAGTTACAGGCTTACTGTAGGATTTAGACTTTATTTAACATGGCAAACTAATAAAGGTCGACATGTTGTATCCAACTCAGGTCTTCATCAGGGCAGTCGTCAGCAGTAGGATGTCTACAATGTTAGTACTTTGAAGAGTAGCAATTTAAATTAAAGATAAGAACAATTTATTTCTCACTTGAAAATTATTTTAAAACTTAAGATCAACAATTATTATTTTCAAAAGTCAAAATATTTGAAACTTGATTAAAACTCATTGATTTTGACTTGATTTGTTATAAATAAAAAATGATTGTGATGTAATTTTGAATGGTGAGAGAATGAAGAAATCATTTCTACAGCTTAAATGTAACTCCTTAAATGTACGAACAGTTATTTTAAACTTTTTAAAAATGTTTTATTAAAGATGTCTGTAATCATTATTTTTTACTAACTAAAGGGAATATTAGTTAGTCAGTATTGACTTTCTAAATTTGAAAACTAATTTGCATGGTGTTGTTAAAAATGTACGACAGATGATTTAAATAAACAATTGAACATGATGAACTGTGGATATAATTTCCACTAGTGTAACCATTCTGCTTCTATTCATCCCCTCAGATCAAATGTTCAAAAAAGTGATCCATATGTTTTAAGTTACTGTAACTTATCTTCTGTGTGTTTCGCAGCAAAACGACGGGCAGTTCACCGTCATCCAGCTGGTGGGGATGCTGCGCGGCATCGCCTCAGGCATGAAGTACCTGGCCGACATGAACTATGTGCACCGCGACTTGGCTGCTCGCAACATCCTGGTCAACAGCAACCTGGTGTGCAAGGTGTCCGACTTCGGCCTCTCGCGCTTCCTGGAGGATGATACTTCAGACCCGACATACACCAGCGCTCTGGTAAGGAGAAACATTCCAGTCCTTGAAGTCTTAGATGCCTTGCAGGGGGGCTTAAATCTCTGGAAAAAGTGGATTTAGATTAAAGTAAATACGAGGCCTGGATTAGCATCAAAAGAAGAGTATAGAGAAAAATATGTTCATCCAAAGTTTTGCCCCTTTATTTTTTCACAGAATTAGAAATAACCAGATATGAGGCATTTAATTTAAATACATTTTAAGTGATGTAGTCATGAGAATTATCTTTCTATATGTCTGACCTCGTAGCTGTAATAATAGAAACAATAAATAAACAATGCTGCAGAAACTCTTTGATTTAATTGAGTTTTATTAACCTTTTTTTTCAGCAAAATTTTAGTTTTTGTTGATGAAAAAGACAAAACATAGAACATTAACAACATTATTTCAGGAGTAACTGTTCCTGTTTTTATAAAAGACACAAAAAATACAAAAGTCTGCATTTACTTTTGACTGTTTTTAAGGTAACAGGAGCTAGATTTAGGATCTGCTCAATACTTCCAGACCTGAGAGAAGTGGGAAAAATTAAGTTTCCAATCCCATATTTTTTTTTTTTTTTTTTCAGAATGTCGCCGAAATATTCAGAATTTACCAGCCATAAATAAATGAAATTAAAGAATTAGTGACTTTTACCGTACTATCAGATTTAGTCTGAATGTGTACAAAGAAGTTTAGACATTTATGTCTGTAAAAGAATCCTAACATAAGAATGTGAAGAAGACTTTCAATTCAATTCAATTCAAACCTTTATTTATTCTCGAAAGGACACTCAGGTTTCCCTCCAGTCGAGATTACAAGCACAATAAAACAAGCAAAAAGACAACAAACACTCAGATCCATTACAAACAGTTACTATTTGAAACAAAGTGGCTAGAAATCAAATTCCTGAACTGTGGAAGAGAGGGAAGAACTCTGATCCTTAGACCTGCCTTCATGACAGAATTAAGGTCAAACAGTACATGTAATATGTATTCATTATAAAGGAGAGCTTGTCTGATACTATCTGACATGACCAGAGTGATCCCAGTTGATTTCATTCATCCCCAGTTTGACGCACGGTGTAGTGCACATTCACTCTGCTTCTCTATCCAGACAAACATCGCTCCTTCACCTGTTCCTCCTCCTCCTGTATTTCATGTTCCACACGTTGCTCCCAGGGGGTTTTGTTTTATCCCCCTCCCAGTTTGGGTTACTGTCTGACATTGTTGCTGTGAACGGTGTCTCTCTCTGGAGTCAGGACACTGTGACGGTTGGGTTTCCGTCTCGCTTCCACTCGCTGAGGTTGTGCCCTTTTGTGTTTCACAGGGAGGGAAGATTCCTATCCGATGGACTGCACCCGAAGCCATCCAGTACAGGAAGTTCACCTCGGCTAGCGATGTGTGGAGCTACGGCATCGTCATGTGGGAAGTCATGTCCTACGGAGAGCGGCCGTACTGGGACATGACCAATCAGGATGTATGTATTTAAGCTCCCTTTAGTTATTTTTTAAATCTCACATGAGTAAAAAATGTTCCCCTTTTACATATTTTAAAACAAAGCCTCACTGCACACACATAGATTCTTATTTTTTGTCTCCTGAGTTTCACTCCAGCCTCAGACTCCTCAGAGATACGTTTTGTCATCGTATCTGCTTTCTCTTAGCTTAACAGCAGCTTTCACTCAGGGTTTTCTTTTTTCTTTTTATATATGAAAATTCCCCCGCAGTCACCGCAGAGACATAATCAGATCATTTGAAATGCACCGAAAGAGCTCGGTGGACAGTCTCTGCTCTTGACTGGAGCCTCCATTTCCCTCTCTCCCTCTGGGTGAGCCGAGGAGTGAACAAATTACGAGGGGGGGGGGGGGGGGGAGAGATAATGAAAATAGTTTCAAATTGAAAGTGAGAACACTAATGTGCTAAGAGGGACTGAGGAGCTCACCGGTTATCTTATTAGCAGCTCCAGATAGTGTTTCTGCTCCATCGGGGTGCTCGTTCAGAGGGCCTCATGAATGAGATTAATCTGGGTTTGAATGGAGCTCCTTTAATGGCCCCCCGATAATGAGCCAGGGGTGGGGGGGGTGGTTGTGCGTCCTCGTCACAAGTGTCCTCCAGGTTGTCTCTCTTCTGTGTGCCCTCCTGGCCAACAACATCCCCGAGCCTGAGTCAGACGCAGCTTTAATGTGGTGTGACGGAGAGAGAGAGAGAGCATTAAATACTTTGTAAAGGCCAACAGATGAGGTCACCGCTTGCAGACAGGACAAGTTCCTGGAATAAGGTTTACGTTCGTTACGACCCAACTGGTGTTTAACAACTCTGCACGTCGAGAGCTCACATGCTGATTTGTGCACACATACAGTATATATGTATTTTGTACATTTATTGTGTGAATGATAATGCAGCAGGTTTGACGAGTGTAGCAGCTGCTTTCGTGCTGAGAGGAACTTATTGAATGTTCATCAAGAGGGAGATCACATTTCTGCCAGTAATTACTTCATATTGGACAGTCTTTGTGAATGTGGATTATATTTAGAAGCTTATCCAAACACTTTTTATGTACTCATGACATCTTTATAACCTGAGGGGAGGTTTTAAAAAAAGTGGAGTGGATCAGTCCTGGAAAGTAACTCATTTTGTGCATTTGTTCAAGTGCTGTCTGTAAAATCAGGTTTCACGTTTTGAAGGTATATAACTGAGTGTATTTATTTTGCACCACATTATACTTCTAATCCAATTCAGTCAAGGTAAAAAGAGAACATACTTTTCCAATTCTTCTAGAAATGTGTGACACTTGGTTCACTTTTTTTGTGTGACACAGTTTTGTGACCTTTAACTTTTCAAAAATGGAGCCCGGTTACAAAATGACCTCGTGGCAGTTATTTCCCCCTCTCAGCCAAGCATGATAACCAATTGAAGGTGATGTCAAACCATGAGATCTGAAGGGATAAACGCAGACAGATACATTATCATATTAATACAGCACTTGAGTTCTCTCCTTTCAAACTAAACTGTACAACTTCTCCTGTCCATCAATCGATCTTCCTCTCTGTAGAGCCTCAAAGCAACCCTTAGAGATCTGTGTCTCCCCCTGCAGGTCATCAACGCCATAGAGCAGGACTACCGGCTGCCCCCGCCCATGGACTGTCCCAGCGCGCTGCACCAGCTCATGCTGGACTGCTGGCAGAAGGACCGCAACAACCGGCCCAAGTTCAGCCAGATCGTGAACAACCTGGACAAGATGATCCGCAATCCCAACACGCTGAAGGCCATGACCCCGCTGTCTTCTGGGTGAGTCAGGGAGGGAGAGATTAACGGAGGAATTTGTTTTAAAATGTTTTGACTTACATTCCCTTTGTCTGCTGGTATTACTTGCAGTCATAACATTTGGTATAAATAGTTGAAAGTGTGTGCTCTTTTCTCTCAGTGTGGTATCTGCATGTGGGTTTATTTTTGTCTCTGAAGGCGTCCCCACAACACAGATCTTTGGGTTGGAGCTTCGTTTGACATTGATGTGGATAACATCTAGAAAAATATTGTGCAACTTATTCTCTTAACGCAAACCTTTTCCTCTTTGTAAAATGGAAATTCCTGCTCCTGCTGCAGTGCCATCCATAGCACAGTTGACTTTTCTTCCAAACACAAGTGTCTCTTGTTTCTCCTGGCGCCGGGCGGTTATGTAAATTAAAGCCTTTTGGTTTGATAGATCAAAACCTTCCCACTAAAAAACGCTCCGGGCGAAACCTGGTTTGTAGCAGATTTTTGCAAGTTTCAAAACAAAACAATTGAAAGCGTTTCTGCTCTGGGTGTTAGTTTCCTCTGAGTGACTGGCTTTTACTGATTTCCATTATCCACTGTCTGTACTTTCATTTGCGGTGTGTGGAGGATCCAGGGCCAGATTTTCCACAGACACTGAGTGGGTATATTGGCTCCCTGAAGGCCATCACTTCATTTGGAAAATTCACTTTACGAGGAATCACTTTGGAAAGTATTGGTTCTCGAAGAAGGCCAGGGGGATTCTCTAAAGTTCTGTCTGAATGTAATGTAATCATTCATATTTGAATCAAACGCAGGTGGTCCGGCCTGTCAGGGATGTCGGAGCTGCCAGTTCGTATCATCATTACTCTTTAACGTTCCTCTGCTTGTGTCTCCCTCAGTGTTCACCTCCCCCTCCTGGACCGCAGCATCCCCGACTTCTCCAGCTTCAGCACCGTGGACGAGTGGCTGGACGCCATCAAGATGGGCCAGTACAAAGACAACTTCGCCAACGCTGACTTTTCTACATTCGACGTGGTGTCCCAGATGACCATGGAGTAAGTGCTGATGATTCCTTCCATTCTGGAGAAAGATGAGACAAAACATCGCATCAAGCAGGGTTTTTCCATCATGTGTATCTCTGTAAATCAGGATTTTAAACTGTAGTTTGGGGTTATTTAGATTAAATAAAGGTTTGGGAACTTTGCTCTGGAGCTGCTTGACTTTTTCTCAGCATCAAATGGCAAAATTATAAAACAGAGGAAACCCCACTTTAAAAAAGGGTTATCAAGCGGACCTAACAAAACAAGAATTTTATAACCTTCCAGGTTCAAACCACATCATTACCAAGTTAAACAGACTTTTTAAATATGACAAAAATCTTTTAATTTAGTCTTTAAAATGTTCAATAAGTCAAGCTTGAGTTCCTGTGAGGAGTTTTCCGCTGGTTATTAAACAGACTGAAATGTATACTGATGCCTTTAAATGTCCTACAAAAGTAAACAACAAGACCATCAGGAAGATGACTGATTATATCTACCTCGTCTTTATTGATGCCTCAAAGCTCTGCAGCAGGGTAAGTGTCACACAAAGTGAGTGACAACATGCTGCAGAAACAGCCTTTATTTACAGTTTCCTCAGCAGAGATTCACCATGAAGGATATTTGTGATCGCTTACAGAATGCAAGATGAGTTCTGTTTATATTTTTTTTTAAAAAACCTACTTAAGGGTGCAGATGGCCCAGCGGTTAGGCCACGCGACATGTACAGAGGCTTAAGCCCAAACTGCGACTCTTTATCTGCATGTCAATCCCTAATTATTCTCCCCTATTTCCTACTCCATCCACCCAAGATAAAAAAATAAATAAAACCTACACTTGTACAGGACAGGATCAGCAGCATGTTAAGTTCCTCACAGAAGCTTTAAAAATGAACAATGACCATCCTAACCCAGACCTGTCCTCCCCCATCATGAAGCCTTACTTGGTACATTCCAGGATGCCAACATCTGGCAAGCACGCGTGTTGATGGGAGCGTAATCTTTGAGAAATTAGCTCAGACAGAACAATGATTAGAAAGAAAGGCAAACACTCAAAGATACACATCTTAATCAGCTACAGTGGATTCAATAAAATATGAAACTAAAAAATCCATGCAGAAGTTTTTCACCTGATTGTTGAGGGAATCATTGTCGCTCCCTCTCAGTCTTTAAACCTGGACAAACACCAGACTCGGCCTCTGGCCCTCAATAAAAGCAGCTCGGTGCACTGCATGTAATTAGACCAAGGTAATGTTGCAGTAATAAGACTGAACAGAACGCACAATAGCTTGCAGCCCCGACGGCGCTCTTTATTCTACGCCATGTGTTTATCAGGCCTCTGTTTGACCTCACTTTAAAGATTGTCACCAAACAATGTTATATTGTGATCGCTGAGCTGGTCTACACAGAGACAAAAGTCTCACTACTTCAGATCTAATCATGTTAAGAACTCCCTCTGTGGAGAAAACAGATAGACTGTCGTTTCCTGTCTCTGAACAGATTAACCCGCGGAGAAGTGGAGCTTGGATTCTTTGAACAATACAGATGGTGATGTGTAATCCAATAAACCTGATTGCTGTTGGGATTCAGAATTAGGAGGGAAGAATTTCTCCGTCCATTCAACAAAGTGAGCCAAAATAAATGATGTAGAGCGCCGCAGTGGGTCAGAGAACAGCAGTGTTAGGACAGTGAGAAAACTGTTTCTTTGTGGGGCAAAAAGAAACAGTTGTGGGAATCCAAAATGTAATCGAAATAGAAACTCGATTAATTAACTTGATTGCCAAGACCTTTATACAAAATATTACCTGCAGATTATTTAGATATAACCTATAACTTCTGCAGCGAACACTGGGTCTACAACGGTGTTAGCATCAATGAAATGTTGTTCAATTGTTATTCTAAGCGTTTGTTTAGCTGGGAGTAAATGACAGAGGGTAAAAAAAAGTCTTAAAAAGTCGTCTCTTTTAACTGTGAGAGGTCTTACATTTTAGAAGGCACTTTGACCGAGACACATCTGAATTCTTTTAGTCGTTGTTTTATGATTTTCAATCATCTTGGATTTACTTGTTGATGTGACGAATCGTGATATTTACAGCAGCGTATAACAAACAAAATGACAAATTGTGACTGAAAGAGAGAAGAGGAAGAAGATGTGGAAAAGCAAGTTCAAGTAAATTCAGCTTCAAGATTAAAAATACAGGGAATGGTTCGCGGGGGCAAACATTGATTATCATGTGACTTGCAGGTTAAGTAAAAACATTTTTAAACTTGGGACAATAGAAACTAAAGATAAAGGAGGTAGTTATGTACGCATCATGTGGGAGCAGGGCAGTACAAAAACAGCAAAAGTGAGGAAGAAGATAGTTTTTAATCAATCACAATCACAACGCTATAAGCCAGATGTCTTCTCCAGGTGATAATTTAAAATCATCATCATAATGGGAATGAAAGCCTCTGAGTCCCTCATGATATTTAGAAAACACCGACGATATGTGCTGCAAAGGTTGTGTACATCTTTCTTTAAAAAAGTCTTAAAAACGGATTTGAATTGGAGTGAAGCAACATCAGTAAAACAAGTCGTAGATAAAGACATTAAAGAGATATTCTAACATTCTCTGTGATTATAAAAGCTTTCAAGACTCACAGAGTTTTGTGAACGCAGCTTTTTATTGGTTAAATGACGATGTTTGACATCTGTAGTCGGGGGCGGCAGAAGCTCAGTCTGAAGGGGTGGGGACTGGAGGGTCGCCGGTTCAAGTCCCGATGCGGACAATAATATGGAAGTTGGTCTGGTAGCTGGAGAGGTGCCAGGGCATTTCCCGAGTCCTGCCAATGTACCCTTGAGCAAGGCATCGAACCTCCAGCAGCTCCCTGCGTTGCAGTGTGTAGCAGCCCCACTCTGACATCTCTCCACTAATGCATGTCCACAGATTCTGTTTGTGTGAGAAGCATGTCTCTAAATAACAGCGTGTTGAGCCAGAATTTCAGTCTGGGATTAATACAGTGTATAAAATTCAAGCAGTTTAATGCCATCAGTTTACATCTACCGTCGCTGTTTCCTGCCAATCATCTTCTTCTGCTTCCATATGGGATTCTGATGTTTATGTTGTAAACTTGTTCTAGATAAAGACGATAGATGTTCTAACGTTGGCATGACATCTGCTTCTCTCTCCCCGCAGTGACATCCTGAGGGTGGGAGTGACGTTAGCGGGTCATCAAAAGAAGATCCTGAACAGCGTCCAGATGATGCGGGCACAGATGAACCAGATCACGTCTGTGGAGGTCTGACCCTCCGAGCACAGCAGAGGGGGGAGATTATAAAAAAAAAAAAAAAAGAAAAGGCTGTTGGGGATGCAGGGCTCTGGGTTGCGGAGGATGGAGTGGATGTTTTTTTTTTTGGCAGTTACAGTGTGTCTGGTCTTCCCTCCAGACTACCAATCATCCCCCCGCTCCCTCTCTCCTCCTCCTCCTCCTCTTACCCCTTCACCCTGACTCTCCCTCCATCCTCGGGATCAGCTGTGGGGAGTCGTGGAAGCGGAAGTCCATAAAGCGCGGTCCCCACAGCCGGACCCACCTCTGGAGCTAGAAACACAGGAGGTTAGAAGTGACCAGCAACACATTCTTCAATCTTCCACCAGTTTTTCATTTGATGTTGGACTTTCATTTTCATTTTTTTTTCTTTTTTTGGTTTGTTTGTTCTGATAATTTTGTAAAGAATTTTCTAAAGACATAAAAAAAAATGAAAAACTGAGTAAAAGGCGAGGAGTTTATCTAAATTTATAGATGATTATAAGGTTGTAAACTAGACGGACTGAGTAGGAAAGCTACCCTTTAAAAGGGCAACAAAAAAAATAAAGAAACAAGGAAGTGAAGGCCATCCTCGACGCGATGTGGATATTGTCTCTGCCAGGTCTAATTTTGGACGTCCGGAGGAAACAGCAGCGAGTGTTGAAGAGGCCGATGGACCCTACGTGCACTCCAATCTGTTCCCCCCAGGAGAGAAAATAAATTAAAAACCATACAAGGGACTATTTCTTTTGACATGGACTGATGTCAAAAATCATTCAAAGTGACAATTCACACGGTGAAATCCAGAAAAAGAGTAAGAAAAAAAAGTTTTTCATCATTGCAAGTAATTTTCTATATTGTGTGAATTTCTGTGATGAAGATTCCGTCTCACCATGCTTCCTCTCACTGCGATCGAAACGACAAGTTTGTTTTTATTTTGACCTTTACACGCTCACACCTTGCCTAATAGAAAATCTCTGATTTTTTTGCAACCCCCGATCATGATCCTGTACTGTACATATCAAACGCACCTGACCTGCCATAAAACGCAAAGACTCAAAACAGAAAACAAAAAAGAAAAAGATTCAAAGAGGAGAAGAAGTGACTACAGGGAGGATCACACTGTTGGTACCTTCAGTTTTCTTCCCTTACTGTGTGAAACTACAAATAAAACAACAACCTCCTACGTAGAGTCACACCAAAAGAAACAGGTTCTACTGTTTACATCGCGTTCATACAGCGCGTCCTCATCCTCGTTCATCTCCTGTGCACACGTTCGCACGGAGAGCGGCAGCAGCTCCCGATGCGTCGGGACGCGTCTTTGATAGCATGCTGAGTGAGTGCTTAATTTCACAGTGCTTTGATTTGCTGCAATTTACTGCAACTCTGTTTGGTGAGAGCTTGAGTTTGACACACTTTACAGAGTATAATGTGGCTGCATTATATTCACCCTTTCTTCTTCTTCTTCTTCCAGTTTTTTTTTTTTTCCTTTTGGAGATTTTATGTTGAAAGTATTAAAGTTTTGATACCACACACACTCTCACACAAACACGCCGTCATGAATAGACTTTACAATCAGGCATTTGTTCAAGGAAAAACAAGAATGCTATGTGTTATATTTTTGCAATGTCTGTATGGATGTTATTGAAATGTTATTGTTACCACTTTTATTTTCCTGCACTGAGTCTACTGTTTGACTCCAAAAAAAAACCAAAAAAAAACACTCTGGATCTTCCATCAACGCTTAGAAGTTTATTTTTTAAAACATGATACATGTTGGTGCACTCGACCATGTAGACAAACCGAGCAGGCTTTGTTTTTCATTTTGCAGACGGTATATGCATTGTTCTGTCTGTGTGTCTATGACCAGGAGCTGTCCATCATTGTGTCATCATTGGTATCCTGGTGTAATGATTGTGGGGGGCAACATGGAGTTTGTAGCATTGCAGTGATTCCCTGGAGATGGTGGGTTTATGTACACAGCCATTAACTGATACCAGCGGCGCAGAGCTCCCCGACCTGACAGGCAGACATGGACGTCCAGCTGTGAGCCATCGGTAAGAAGTGTCCGGTCACAGCGGGGCGGCTGCACCCCGATCACAGCCGCTCTGTCCGGGGCGCTGATTCCCCTTTCACTCCCCTTGATCACAAACACACACACACACACACGCCTGCCCACCACCTGTCTGCCGCTCTCACTGATCTCACCCCTGTCGGACTTCTGCAGTTGTCTCGCTCCGTCTCGGCAAGTTTCAAAGCATCTGCAGCAGCGGGCGAGCTGACATTCATCAGTGCAGCAGTTGTGTGTTGTCTTGTCTTTAAAAAGACTCCTGCAGACCGGACAATGCTTCCATTTTAACCAAATCCTCAGAGTTTTTAGTGGCTTCAGCACCAAAAACCCTGGTTAAAAAAAAACAAAAAAAAGAAAGAAAGAAAGTGAGAAACCTCAGTTACTGCAGTCTTGTCATCCTACTTTTATTTATCCCTGGCTGTCCAGAGAATTCAAAGCCAGAGATGGAGAGATTTTTCTCTTCTTTTTCTGCTCCATAATCCCCTCCTCGGTTATTTTCATCTGCACTGACACATCAGAAAGAATTTTTGTAACATATGAGGCTGGAGGAGGAGAATCATGAGCTGTTAGTCATAGCTGAGAGACGAACGAGGAGTGACTCTGTGACCTAAATGCCACTGATGCCAACATGCAGTTTGCTTTTTTCAACTAAGCTCAACACTGTCTTCCCTTTTCCATTTCTTAATACTTAACAGCTCATCAGTTTTATGTCTTATGCGAGGCCGAGGCTGTACCTCTCGTCACGGCGCTGGGAATACTCCTTCGTCAGGAAAAACACTTAAAGAAATTAATCTCAAGCATACACAGGGATTGTGAGTTTCTGCTCCAGCCCCATTAAAGCTCGTTCAGACGCTTGTCCACGCACGCTGCCAAGAGTTTGAGTTATTAATCGAGCAATTATCCTTGAACTCAGATACAAGGAAGTACCTCAAACTGGGTGGGCAGACACTGTTGGACATAAAATCCTGCAGAAGTTCAGTCAATGCTGCATCCAGTCCGTGCTCTCTGACAGTGTTAGTTTGTTGTTTTTTTAAATTTCATCTGAAGGAGTTTGAAAAGGGTTTGAAGCACCGCATGAAGTATTTATTTATCTCCTGATTTTCTCGGCACAGAAAGAGAAAGAGGGTGTATTGTTGAAGTTCAAGCTGAGCAGTTACATCAGGAGGAGAAATTGACGCACTTATGTCGAGTGTCTCAAGTGGTTCTGGATCACTTTCTAACAGGAGACTGGCTGCTTTCTTCACACCAAACAGAGCCCTGTTGTCCAACATTTTACTATAAAAAAAATGTATAGTATTAAGTTCACACTTCATCTGGATCCAGTTTTTAATTTGGGCGTATTTCAAAAATATACGCTGCGATTATTCCTTTATAAACTCTCTGAAATGAGTCTCAAATGTTTCATTTAAGCAAAATTCCCATGACCACTGTCAATGGTTTCCAAATTACATTGGTGCAGTTACTGTACACTATATGAATATTGGATTTCTGGGACTCAAGATTAGTATTTATAGAAAGTAATTTTTTACCCTTTTATGTCGCCTCCCCTTCTAGAGCAGCTTCATTCATTTCCCAGAGAGAAGAAGTATTATTGAACTTTTTTTCAGATGCAGTTTTAATGGGAAGTTTTACGGCACCAAAAATATGCCATCCACACACTCCAGCCTCTTGAGTAAAATAACTTTTTTACAGCTTTCCTCTGGAAATTGTAGTAGATGCATTGCGGTTTGTGACAGTCCTATTGGTTTCACACAACATGTGAGTACTCCAACTTTAAGCAAAACACTCTGTACTTTCTCCTCTTACATCAGTGAAGCAGGGAAAAAACACACACACACACACACTCTCAACCCTGCCCTCACTGTGTGCCAATTTTTGAAGGACAGAGGAAAACGGTTAAGTCTCAGTGTTACTGTTACATGAGAGTGTGCATAAACACAAGCCGGGCCAGCGTGTACCCACCGGGCTGTGTTTGAACGCCGCCCAGCCACAGCATGGGCAGAGCGAGAGGTATGCCTCCTGATGTGGAAGACAGAAAATGGCTCCTGTTTAAGTGAGGCACAGTCCGCAGTGCCAGAGCGCCCTCTACTGCTGTGGTGGTCAAATGTAGCATGTTGGAGGGGCTTTTTTTTTTTTTTTTTTTCAGGTGCAGAGAGAGCCGGTGAATGCTGCAGCAGGCAGAGGCTGATGATGGACAAATGCTGGCTGCTGCTGCTTAAAACAAACCTGTGTCTCTCCGTCTGTTGGACAAACTTTCGTACCACTGAATTCCCCTAAATGACCCAGTGTTCCCCTCTGTTACCCCCTGAAGCCCCCCTCTGTCGTCTCCCACTACCACTCTGGCTGTTGGCTAAATTACAGACGGGGACTCTTCAAGTGTTCCCCCCCCCCCCCCCCTCCCTCCTTCCTTTAAAGCCCACGTTACAGAGCAGTGCCGGTTCAGACCACTGTGACTGATGTGGGAGATCCTGTAATTCTGTATAAATGTATATTGACTGTAACCCTGTGAATGATGTAACAATTTCATTATTTGTAATATTGTCATTGGTTTATTTTCTAAAAATGGAAAGCCCAACTTGACTCTCCTCAATAAAAAATAAGATCTGTTATAAAGCTGTGAGGTGTGGTTTCATGGTTTTGTTGTTTACAGCAACAATTTTGTCTTTTTATATTTTAAGAGAAAGATGTAGGTGTTGATGTTTTTATTTTTAAATGTTTGAGTTTAAAATAATCATTATTGAACAAATGTTATTCTGTATGGTTTTAAGTGAAAGCCGTGCGACCAAAACTTTTCTCATTATGTTACAAGCAACCTAAACTATATCGGTTTTGAGTTTGTTTTGTTAAACTAGATAATATATTAGATTTTACTTTTAAAGACTTGTAGAAGAGTAGCCTATGCATGTGCTAATTGTTGGGGAGGCTGTTACGCATCATAAAATTAAAGCCGAGGTGTTTTCTTGTTGAGATCAAACTGATTCTAATTTCAGATCGTCACACGCCCAGATCTATGAACGAGACAAGCTTAAAGCTTTGAAGAACATGGACTGCGTCTCGTACTTGTCTAATCCGACTCTTTGCTGAGAACTATGAGACAACTATTAGACGATTTTAAGAACTTAAACTCCTCTCACTTACAGTATTTTCATCTTTTTCTCAGTTGAGATCTTTAAATGTGACAAATGTAAGACAATTCAGAGATCTTGGACTGTAGACTAAACCTCCATTTTAAGAGACATTTGAGAGCTTGCTGGAGTCTCATTTTTCTTTTAGCTCAAATCTTGGAATGAGATAACTAAGAAATATTAGAGACCTCACGCAGGACTCACAGTGAGACCAATCGTTTTATATCTCAGGATCGTCTGTAAGACAAATGAGAATGAGAATCTGACAAAAATCTCCTTTTGGTCTTAGTCCTCATTTTTTGTCTAGGAGACATAGATGAGACATACATCAGATCTTATCCTAAATTTTACTTTGTTATGGAAAAGTAAAATTATGATTTAGGTGCAGTCTTCATTCTTGGTCACATTTGGTTTATTTCCTCTCTGACTGTGTAGCCAAAGCTTTTATGTGAATGTTACGTCATGAATATGTATATTTAACGTTAAAATGTTTTCTTAAATTCTTAATTTTTTAACCTCTATTTGGCTGAGTAATTTGTGGACTATAATTAACTGTGGCAGGAAGATTACTGCACCGTGTGCCTCTGAGAAAACTGCATCAACTTTAAGCTAGCTGCTGTTTAGCTTTAATCTAAAGCTCATCTCCCAACGTGTTTATTTTCCCTGGTTTCATTTTTGAAATACAAATTCAATGAGCTGCCATCCTGTTTAAGTAATTTCAGATAAGAAACTGACACCTGGTTGAGTGCAGTTAAATTAAAAAGTGAGCTACATTGATGCTAAAGCTAGCTGCTGTGGCAGAGCTAAACAGGCTAATGTAGCATCAAGCCGACCTCTCTGTTTAAGAGTATATTTGAATTTTGTAGCCTGTTTTTGTAATATTAGAGCTACCTGTAATTCAGATTCATCACATATTTCACTGTTTTAAGTCTAAATTATAGTAAATAGAGACAGAAAGGGTAAGGCCTACATATTTAATTTCAGGGGGTAGCCTACCCATTTAAAGCCGAAATAAAGCCTCAGTTCAAAAGGAAGTGCTATGTCTAATATTTTTTCAAAAATATTTAATTACACTTATTATAAGACACATTCACCTGACAAGACCTGTTGGATAAAATCGTTGTTCAAGCGGCGAAAAGCATTAAATGAGGCCTGAACTGTTAGTAAGAACAAAAACAAATCTGCCAATAGGTTAAGCTAATTTTATTGTGGAGTTTCTTGAAATAAGATGATCTAATTTAGATAGTATGTCTCATTTCAAGCAACTCAACAATAAAAATATCTCGACCTATTGGCAGATTTTTTTATTTACTTATTATAAGCTATTCAGGCCTTGTTTTTGTGTTTTTGTTCTTTAAGTAAGATTATTATCTGGGTTTGTCAGGTGAGTGTGGATTAAAATAAGAGTAAGTATTTTTTTTTGACTAGAAATCAAATAAATACACTCGGTTAGATTTGAGTTCATACGTGTAAGGTCAGATACATTCAAGAATTATTATCACAAATATATATTTGGTCTCAATGAAGAGGTGTTGACTAGAAAAC